AACAATACGGCGGCTTTTCCAGTGGCTGCAAAATCCTCCCTTTTGAACGGAGTGACCATGCCAATGCTTGAGGAGCTAGAGATACAGCCCGAAGCAGACACATATGGCAAGATACTACATTGCCAAATCAACCCTCCACATGTGCAATGGCTCCAAAATCCCGTTATCATCACCTCATTTGAAGTCTATTAAGCTTGGATACCTCGATATTCTTAAAGATGACTGGATTGTGCTCATACGGAACCTTCGTTTCAAACACAGTGGAGACACTTATCTTGAGGGAACCAATTTTTCAGATCGGCAAGCAGAACTTTTGCTTGAATGTCTTTCATACTGTGCAAGCGTTCAACCTACATCTTATAGTGGCGATGAAAAAATGAAATCGGTAGCGCTCAAAACACTGAAGATCGAGGGATCTCTGGTCCACTGCTCCTGTGTTGACTGGATTTGTAGCCCAAGTACACGCATTATTGCCAGATTGCGAGTTAAAAGGTCTGAGAGTATGGCAACAGCAACAACAAAAAGAAGCAGAAATTCTGGCATTTACATTCTTCCTAGTCACCGTAATGAGTACATTTACCTTTCACTTTAGATCTTTTATGAAAGTGAATATTTTACAGTTTATTAATTTTTAATCTTTTACTATGAACCTGCTTTTCCTGCGGCTGCTGCTGCCTTTCTTGCCAGGTAACGAGCTTTGGCATCCATGACCTGATCATCTTGGTTTTTCCGCTTGAGTGCTTCACGAATAGATTCTTGTCTCTTCTTCTCTTCTTCTTCTTGTTGTTTCTGCTGTTCCAAAAAGCTGTTGCTCGATCTTTTCTGTCATCCTCGTGCGCTGATCTTTGGATATATTCCCATGCTCACCTTTCCCTTAAGTTGAGAATGATGATGAGCCATATTTAGCGTCTTTGTAGGCAGCATATGCACGATCACGGTCATAGCTTGAAGAGGGTTTGTTGAGACGTAAGTCGTTTTGTGAAGCTGAGGGCTGACTTTTCTTGATAATGTTGAGCCCACCTTTAAGCAACTCACGTTTGTCAACAATCTGTCCATCTTCATTCAGGGTTACATTCAGACCTTGCTCTTAGGCTTCCCTTGCACGCTCGCGGTCTTCCTTTTCTTTAAAGTCGCTTCTCTTCTTCTAATGCTTTAATATCTTTCTGACGAAACACCTTCAATCGTAATGTCAGTTTCAGTCGGTCGAGCCCTTGTACTTCGTTCAACAACGCACGGTAAAATCCTTGCATCAATGATCCTCTTTATCCTTGGCCAACATCTCCTCCCTCTTTCGATCTTCTTCTTCTGCAAGCCTCATGGCTTCCTTCTGAGCCTTATAGGCTGGCGTGATAAAACATCTCCTTGTCCTTAAATTTCTCTCCTTCTTTTTCTCTTTCACGTTCCAATCGTTTCTCTTCTGCGATTTGTCGATCCCGTTTGCGAGTCTCGGCCGCTTGTAGCAGTGCAGCAACATATTTGGGTTTTCGTTCTGCAGAATCTTTTTTGCGAGCGAGCTCTCGTGCACGCTCACCAGCCTTGAGTTGATCATAGACGCCATCATAGTCAAACACAGTCGCATCCTCAGCTAGCGCTGCGTTTTGCTGTTCAATTACAGCTGTTGACTGAAGCGTGGCAGTAGCATAGGGACGAAGAGTTTTGTTGACTGAAGATGTAGAGATATAGGACCTCTTTTTAAATTTTGCTTCTGATCAGATTGTCATTATCGTCATTATCCTTATCCAGATTATCTTCATCAGAACTGCCACTGTCGAAAGCACTACGCCCTCCTATGGTCGACTTGCAGCAGGTTTTGGTTTAGCAAGGATAGTTCCTTTCTTCTTGATGTTCAATCCAAACTGGAGTCCGGACATGGCGAAAGAGAGAGAGAGAGAGGAAGGGAGAAAGAGGTAAGGGAATAAGGGTATATATAACACTGAGTTGCGTTTTTTATACTTCCGCTGGGGGTCAGTTGTGATGGTTTCAAGAACGAGAAGAATGAAACGTAATAATGGAGAGAGAAAGTCTATTCTGAAGAACAATAGCAATGTGGCTTTTTTTCTTGTTTTTTCGAACAGTTTGTCGTGAAAGCTCCAGGTCAGGAACGGGTGCGTTGACATGAGGTTGAATTCTTCCTTTTTTCCTTTTCTTACTCATTCTTCGTTTTTCTGTCAGTCCCATTCCCTTTTGAAGACCAATGTCGGCTATGCGCCATTTGCTCGACCTCTGCAAACGCAGAGGGTTTCTCTTCCAGTCTGCAGAAATTCACGGTGGACTTTCGGGGTGCATATGACTATGGCCCCCTCGGTGTCGAGCTAAAACGGAGCGTCTCACAGAATGGTGGAATTCAATGGTTTATACGATCTGATGTCGTCGGGATGATACTGCCATCATTACTCCTCCGGCGGTCCTCAAGACATCAGGACACGTCGATCAGTTCACAGACGAGATGGTTGATTCAAAGTTATCCAAGGAGGGTTTCGTCCTGATAAGGCGCCACAGATCAAATTAGATGACCAGGGTAGGATCCCTATCACAGCACCTGACAAGAAGACAGCTAAATTGTGGGAACATGACATTAGGCCCAGTTTGCAAAAGGCGCCATGGTTACTCGGAAGGACAAGGAAATCCTTCTAGAAGTAGAGCGCATGGAGAAGAATACAATCGTCCTCAAAAGGGATAACTGTTACTACTGTTGCCTTCGATTCTAATTCACTACCATCACCTTCACCAGAGCAGGATACTTCACTCAGATCCCCTATCATGGATATGTTGATCCAACTCTAATCCCCTTTCCTTACTGAATCACGTCCATTTAACCTCATGTTCAAGACATATCTCGATCCTATCGACCCATTGACAAGGTTATCACTACTACTCTTGACGCCCAAAAAACTCCATCATCAGCGGATTTGTCGACTACCCGTCAACTCGTAGATAAAACCCTGTACCTTCTCTGACCTATCTTCGCCCAGAAACGGCACAGGTGTCTTCATTAATTATATGACTGTTCAACGATCCCATCCACATCTCAAGATCCCTTTTGGGATTGCTCAGATCGGGAAATCCTTTAGGAACGAAATCCGTTTGGAGCATGCTATTTTCAGGACACCTGAATTTGAACAGATGGAGCTAGAGTATTTTGTGGCTCCTTGGCAGGCTCAGGAGCAATTTACAGCCTGGAGAAATTCAGGATGGATTGGTGGAGGACCTACGCACGTCACCATGACCGTATCCGGGAAGAGCGCATTCACAAGATGAGCTGGCTCATTATTCAAGAGGATGCATTGATGTTGAGTATCGGTTCCCATGGGGTTGGGAGAGGTCGAAGGTATTGCGAATCGAGGCGATTTTGATTTGAGTAAACATACAGAAGCTACTGGTATTAAGCTACAATACACAGATGCTGTCCTGATGCAAGAAAGACAGGCACGTGAGAAGGCCACAGGGATCAAAGAGACAAGCGTAGAGATATTGGAGCGCGAGAGATTTACACCACATGTCGTCGAGTCGTCATGTGGATTGAATAGAGCTATGTTGGCATTGATGTTGGATGCAATGGAGGTTGTAGATGAGCACGGGCGAGCAGTGGTGCTGGGAAATGAGGATGAGGCCAACAGTGATAGCAACAATAATACAAAGAAGAGCATTGATCTCAACAATAGTAGTAAAGGGATCCGAACTATCATGAAACTGCATCCTCGTCTAGCACCCATCAAGGTAGCAGTAATGCCTTTGGTTTCCAATAACAAAGATCTGGTGGATATTTGTTCTGATATCAGTGGCCAGCTTCGCCAAGAGCTCCAGGTGAACGTAGCAATGGAGACCCAGAATACAACGATTGGCAAGCGATACTACCGTATGGATGAAATCGGAACCCCTTGGTGTTCACCGTGGATTTTGATACGCTCAATGACCAAACTGTGACCATCCGAGATCGTGATACGGGTGATCAGAGGCGTGTTTTCAAAAAATGAAGTTCTGGAAATTGTACGAGATGGATTGAGACTATACCCTCGAAAGAAACCTCATCCATAATCGGCCTTCTCGACGCCATAATGAATGTATTAAAACAAAAATAAATAAATAAATAGATAAAAAAAAAGGCTAACGTATACATTAGATCCAACTTATAATATCTAAATGCACAGCCCCCTAATGTGAGATAGAATTAAAGTTTGAGTAGCCATGGCATTGTTTTATACAAACAGTGCAAGAGCAATTGACATAGGCTCTCCCCAAGGGAAGCCCATTCATGTTAATATCTCGAATAGAAAAGTCGAACAGTTTACCAGACGAATCGACATAATTGAGGTATGTGAAACAAATAACAAGATGCTTTTAATGGAGATAATATATCAATGGACCATGAGGACGTTAATGAAGGAAGGCTGACTAGATTTAGTATACAAGAATATGAATGAACTATAAAAAAAAAAAAAAAAAAAAAAATGAAAACTGAAAAGGCATGAGATGTGCGCGTCCTTCTAATCCTATAAACAACAATGCAAAAAAGGGGGAGGGAAATATGATGCATAAACTAACAAAGAAGCGACCATCTTGTTGATAGTTAATCGGCGACAACACTTATCCAAAGCGATGCATGATAGCCTCGTAACAGAAGAACATGATTGCTGCATTAGGGACAACACGCATCATGTGCGCAGTAAGACCGCCATATAAGGCTGCAACGCCTTCCTCTTTGAGTACCAGCTGGAATGTCTGTTTCAGTCCAGTGTATTTGGGTGGCTCATTTCCCACCGGAACCTGCCGCAGTCGTGTACGGAGAACTTCGTGTGGGTATGTCATAGCCGAAGCAACAAACTTTGCTGCTCCAGCAGCGCCCAAATAGTCGATCCATTCTTCAATATCCTTGCCACCAATGACAAATCTTGTACCAGTAGTGCTGCTTAAGCTAGTGACTTTGCGTCTTTCTGCCAGAGTCTTCTTCAGCTGCTCATAGATCATCCACTGGATCGTTCCTTCGGCGACACCCAGGTATGATGCGCTCAACCCACGGTACATACCACGGATACCTTCGTTCTTGAGAATTTGGTAGATACAATCCACGCTGTTTTTGTATTGCCGTACTCCCTCGACCTGAAGTTGCATCCTAGTTTTGACAAGCCAAATGGGATTGGTGGCAGTTGCTGTAATGATACCAGCTGAGATCGCTGATGAGAGGTGAAAAATGTCGTCTCCTTGCCGTTGTTCAAATCAGTGTAGAACTTTTTGCCGTTACCATACGCCGCAAATTGATAGCCCTATAGAAAAATATAGCAGGAGGAGGAGATATTATCTTTAGGACACCAATCATACGAGCATCAAGCTAAATGAAGTTAGTAGTAGCTACCTTGCTGGGAAACTCCGACGAGATTGGGTCCTAACCCCTTGTAGAGCGCACGGGGACCCTCTTTGGAATAGATTGTCTATTTAACATATAATTCATCAAACATAAAATTAGACTCTCGCGATCAACAAATCTCTAGTCCTGATGTCATCAAGGCCCCACACTAAAAAAAAAAAAAAAAAAAAAAAAAAAATTTACCCAAGCAAAAGACAAGTATCTTTGATATGTCCAAGGACAGAATAAACTCCCGACCTGCTACTGTCGTAGAGGACATGCTCTTTTGATGACTGGTATAAGGAGGACTAAGGGATAAAGGAAGAAAAGGAATCAGTGATCGCTATAACTTCTCTTATCCGTGCATATCAAAACAATGGTAATTGCGTAATAATAAAGGGAAGCTGGTCTGTGGATCTTTTGGACGTAATGAGAGAGACCGCATTATGACGTCTTCCTTTTTTTGCTTTTGTTAACCATACCTGGAGTCTAGTCTTGACCACATCGAGAGCGAGTTACTAGCGTCCAGCCATGCCGCCCTTCTAAAATAGAAAGTTAAAAAGAAAATACAGAAAGTCAGCTCTTTTCTTCGAGTGTGGTGGTTTCTTTTCTTTTCTTTTCTTTTGTCTTCTTCTTTTTTTTTTTTTTTTTTTTTTTTTAACAAATGCTTCCTGCGATACACGAAAAAAAAAAATATATATATATATATCCGTGGTTTTTGATGATCCACACTTACCCTCGGCCAAAAGTGGACCATGAGAACTGAGCACCAGCGATTTTCTTTTGAGCTGATGTGGCAGTAGCAACGGGAGTTGAGACCAAGGTTGGCTCAGGCACCTTGGTGTTGTTGTTATCATTTTTCTGAAGAGCTGTTGTTGTTACGACCGAAAGGGTTCTTTTGCTGTAACTGTTGACTGATGGTGTTAGTGGTTGCAGAGGTAGAGGGGAGCATAGCAGGAAGAAGAGAGTTAGTCCTGGAAGCAGCAGCAGCAGTCGAGGCACTCATTTTGTTGTGTTATAATAGAAAAGTACCAAAGAGGAGAAGAGAGAAAGAAAAAAAAAAAAAAAAAAAAAATAGTTGGAGCCGTGAGAGAAGAATGGGCTTTTCAGGAGATCTGCTTCCTACAAAGTAGTACATGATATCTAGTGACTGTGCCTAGTGTTGTTTACAAGATTAGCACAAGTGACTGTTCATCCTATTTCCTCTTTTGGGACACACCTCCGAAATGTCCATGTGGCGTAACTTAACCCAGAGATCTGAGCCTGAAGAGAAAGGGCGTGATGTTTTGGTTTCCAGCACGTGCTGGAAGAAAACGAGCACAAACCTATTGCCCATACAGCACAAGCTGATTGCCCATACAGCACAAGCTGATTGCCCATACAGCACAAGCTGATTGCCCATACAGCACAAGCTGATTGCCCAAACAGCGCGAACCTGTTCTGAAACAGCATGAACCTGTTGTGAAACAGCATGAACCTGTTCTGAAACAGCACAAACCTTTTCTAAAACAGCGCGAACCTGTTCTGAAAACAGCACAAACCTATTGCACAAACAGCGCCAACCTGAAGAAAAAGCATACAGGCTTAAAAAAATCCACAATCATTTGCATGCATAACAGGCTTCTTCTCTTTTCGCACTACCATTACCATTGCCATTACCATTACCATTGCCATTACCATTACCATTGCCATTGTCATTCTCATTCTCATTCAATTCTCAGAGAACCTTCTGCATCATCCCTATAAACACGCTTAATACCACGAACAGTTGACAGATTAACTTTATTTGTCTGATCTTGTCTCACAAAGCGGCCATGTACTTTAATAATTCAGTAAATGCTCGGCATCTCTGCCTCTGCTTTCTCTTTATTACTAATGTTGACTATATATAGTCAAAGCCAACTTCTACTTCCATAGCTAGGCTTCTATATCTCTATATCTCAAAGATCTTAAAGACCAATAATCATCGTCTGTGACGCCAAGTAACACTGATACGATTGTACTAGATTCTTCTCTTGCCACTCTTTTTGGGCTTAGTAAAAGAAGTCTTGCCCTGGCTTAGCAATGCTGAAGTCCCTATCCCTCAGGCGCCATGGTTGTCACTCCGTGGAATATATACTTTATTCTTGAGGCAGATGTTAAGTGTAAGTCATTAAAAATGGTATGAGAAAAAGCTTTTTATCATTTATTTCTTCAACCGGCATGGCGATACAGCATATTCTCATCGGGATATCAAAGTAAAATTTAAACATAATGCCATGTTAAAGTTGCTCTCTGGCCTATCCAATGTCCTATTAGTTGACTTGTCTTCTCTCAAGAACGCTCTCATAAAGAAAGGGGTGAAACGCGCCCGACATCTGCTTGATCAATACATTCTTTGAAATTGATGAGTGGTTTGTAAATCCTCTAGATATTAGCTTCGAGAATTAATAGATGAAGAATTACCACATTACGATGAGTAATCAGAAAAAAAGCTGCAAAGTCAAAGGAAGATGTCCTTATGTCATCACAACGGCCTGGGCCTCCGTCTGAGCATTAAAATATAGCGAGTTTCATTGATGGAGTCCAAAATATAGACGCATCTTTCAGAATAAAGCTAAAACTTAATATTGCCAATCACTTTATACTACTTTCACAAGTAGTGGACAAAATACAACACTGTTGACGCGCAGTGTAGATAAAAACGCTTAATTTATTTCATTGTAAGTCTAACAAAGTCCGAATCTTCTCAAAGCTGTGACTAAAAATGATGTTGCGCACATTTCGATCACTGAGGTTGGTCCTAAGTGGAGAGAGGACTAGCCCTGCCTTACTGAACAAACGCTCAGACTCAGTTGATGTGGACTGGATACAGAGGTACGAGCGCGCGAAGTGGGCAAGTTCCTCAACTGAGATATTTTCATCGATGCCATATGGCCTCCAATAGTCCTGAGGCTTATCTTTAAAGCGATCGTGATTGTAGTCCGGCAAGCGTACCGATGAAGCGTAGAGCTCTACCGCAAAATTCGAAGAGAAGTAGAGTATCTGATAATCACTCGTTTGCAATGGATTTTTTGTCACTGTATTATTCTCTTTGAATATCTTAAAGGCTTCGCTGCAGAGTTTTTTTGCTTTTATAAACAGACTTTCCCCACTAGCATGCATCGTATCCTTTAAGATATCGAGTGCTGCGCAAGCAGGGTTCAGGAATATAGAAATGAGCACGGTATCTGGAATGTCCTGGAGAGGCCACGATTTTTTGATCTGTTCGTCCAGGCTTTGCCATAACTCTCTCGTCTCTTCCGTTCGGAATGTTGTAAGCGCCGGGAGCATGGTGTAGACCCTCAAATAGATTTGCGAAATGGTCGGGTTATCATGTGCGCCTGCCCAGTGTGTAAGCTTGGCAGCCGGCTCCAAGAGCGTGATAATCTCCTGCAGGGTCTCGATCTCTCCCTCGACAAGGAGGTGCCGCCCGAGCTCCGCAGCCTTGAGCTTTTCGTCTTTGGATCCTGCCCTCATTAATTGATAGACCGCTGTAATTGCTTCTGAAACTTCAAGCACCCTTGCTGCCATGTTGAATTTTGAGTTCCATCGCGTGACATTCGTTGTAAGCAGTTTGACCAATTTTTTGTTACTTTTGCTACGCTGATTGTTAAGCAGATCCATAGCAAGACTGGAGCTTCTGAAGAAGGTTGAGATCTTTTGGCATTTTTCCATCACCGCCTTAGCTCCAGAACTTCGTTCCAATGCCTTATTGATACACAGCTGTATTACATGGGAAAAACAGGGAAGCCAGGTAATACTCTTCTTTAGATTATAAAGCTGTATGGCTCTTTTTATGTTCGACCCTTGATCCGTTGTTGCACAGATCAAATGCCCTTCCAAATTCCATCTTGCGACTACACGTTCTATAGAACAAATTCCAGGATTAAAAGTGTTATTTACATAGGTCTCAAACAGGCAGTAAACCGACAGAGCTAAAGCTATGATATTCTTACCAAGCTTTTCCAATAGGACTTCTGCCGATTGAGGGCCTTGGACTCGTTCCATGCCAATCACAACTGAAGCCGGCTGAAAGTCATGTGTTAGAAAGTGAAATGTTACTCCAAAGAACTTCCTTTGATCACCGCTTGTCCAACTATCCGCTGTGATTGCGCCTTGAATTTTACGATCAGTGATGTATCTCGATTTGCCTCCACATATGCATTACACTTAAATCCATGTTTGATTGGATAGCGTCTGTGC